CCACTACTAGTGATGCATCATTCTTAGGTGGAGTGGAAGTGGTAGTGCTACAAGAAGTGTTAGTGGGAGCAATAGCAATAGGCTTATAAGAATATTCATCAATAAGATCACATGTTAGTCCCACATCACATGTAACTATCACTTGCTCCTTCTTGGCTTCCTCCTTCTTGACTTGCTCAATGAGAGAGGAGTGAGCTTTGCCAAGCTTCTCATGGGCATCCATTAGCCTCTCATGAGTGGCATTGAGCTCATCAAAGGATTGCTCAAGAAATTTTACTCTCTTGCGCAATTCTTTGCACTCCTTTCTCTTTATCTCATTGCAAGCGTGCACTTGCTCACACATGTCCATGAGCTCCTCCTTAGAGTACTCATCATCGTCATCATCATCATTATCATCCCGACAAGAGTCACTTTCACATTCATCATCATCACTCTCATCATATTTTACCTTGGTAGGCTTAGCCATGAGGCATGTTGATGGAGTGTCGAAGATGGAGGGCTTGTTGTTGATGGCGATGCTTGCTAGTGCTTTCTTGATTTATTTCTTGCCATCATCACTAGAGTCATCACTATCCGATGAGCCATCACTATCCCAAGTGGCCACATAGCCTCCACCCTTCTTCTTCTTTTGGAAGGTCATCCTCTTCTCCTTCTTCTCCTTCTTTTCTTTCTTGTCCTTCTTGTGTTTGTTCTTCTCATCTTCATCATTGTCACTATTGTAAGGACAATTAGCTACTACATGATCGAGACTTTTGCAATTGTAGCATCTTCTCACATATTCTTTGCTCTTGGTATGATCTCTTCTTTTTCTTGCACCATAGCCCTTCTTCTTCATGAACTTGCCCATCTTGCGCACAAAGAGAGTCATAGCCTCATCATCAATATCACTAAGATCATCATCATCACTTGATTCTTTCTTGGACTTGCCCTTGTTCTTTGATGATGATGAGCTAGCCTTGAATGCTATGCTTTTCTTCTTCTTGTCTTCTTCTTCCTTCTTGTCATCCTTGTCATCCCCTTCCCTTTCCATATGGTATGTCTCTTGTGTCATGACATCACCTAGTACTTGGTTAGGGGTGATATCCTTTAATCCTCCTCTTATGATAAGCAATCTCAACATCTCAAACCTTGGAGGTAGGCACATCAAGAATCGATGAGAGACATCATCATCCTTGATCTTCTCTCCCAAAGCCTTCAAGTCATTGACAATCACTTGTAATCGATGGAACATCTCCGGAATGCTCTCATCTTCCTTCATCTTGAAGCTTGTCAACTTGTCCTTGAGAATATACAACTTGGCACTCTTCACCGCCGGTGTGCCCTCATATGTTTCCTCCAACCTCCTCCACACTTCATTTGCTCTTTCACAATCCTTGATTTGCTCAAACACCTTTGGATCAATGGCATTGTATAAGGTGTTGAGAGCCATTGTATTGCATTGCTTGTTGGACTTATCTTGGTTGGTGGGATTGTCGGTATCAATGATAGCATAATCATTCTCGGTTACATCCCATACTTGATCATTGATTGAACCAAGATACACCCTTATCTTTCTTTTCCAATAACCATAGCTTGTGCCATCAAAGAAAGGTGATTTGCCCCCCACATGGTTGAACACAACTTGAGCCATAATTTGACACCGAGGTTGTTAAGCCTTTAATTAAACGGTGACCACGGCTCTGATACCACTTGAAAGGTCCTAATATGACTAGAGGGGGGGGGGTGAATAGCCTATTTAAAAAACTACAAATCAACTAGAGTAATTTGATAATATGACAAATAGCGTAATGCAAACTTGCTCTAGCTCTACAAGGGTTGCAAGCCACCTATCCAACAATTCTAGTTGCAATGATTACTTAGGCACACAAACTTGCTATATAACTACTCACTAAGAGCTCTCAATCTTGCTACTCTAAAGAGCTCAACTAGATGAATGTAAATAATAAAGCAAGCTCTCAATTCTAATTACACTAAAGAGCTTGTATCAACTAGTTTGCAAGAATGTAAATAAGTGAGTAGGGTGATTATACCACCGTGTAGGGGATGAACCAATCACAAGATGAATATATAGCCAATCACCGGGAGAATGCCAAAGACAAGAGACAATCGATTTTCTCCCGAGGTTCACGTGCTTGCCAACACGCTACGTCCCCGTTGTGTCGACCAACACTTGGTGGTTCGACGGCTAAGAGGTGTTTCACAAACCTTGTCCACACGATAGGACACCGCAAGAACCGACCCACAAGTGAGGTAACTCAATGACACGAGCAATTTATTAGACTTACCTTTTGGCACTCCGCCGGGGAAGGTACAACTCCCCTTACAATCACCAGAGATGGCCACGAACAATAACCAACTCGTGCCAATCCTCCACCGCTGCTCCAACAGTCTAGGTGGTGGCAACCACCAAGAGAAACAAGCGAAATCTGCAGCGCAACACGAATGCCAAGTGCCTCTAGATGCAATCACTCAAGCAATGCACTTGGATTCTCTTCCAATCTCACAAAGATGATGGATCAATGATGGAGATGAGTGGGAGAGCTTTGGCTAAGCTCACAAGGTAGCTATGTCAATGAAAATGGCCAAGAGAGTGAGCTTGAGCCGGCCATGGGGCTTAAATAGAAGCCCCCTCGAAATAGAGCCGTTGGCTCAATAATTGGGCTAATTGCGCATCGACCGGACGCTCCGGTCAGACGCACCGGACGCAGCACCGGACACCCCGACCGTGAATACTGAACGCGTCCGGTCGCTCCCAGGCCACCACGTGTCTCGTTCAAACCCAAGTAACCGTTGTACCACACTGGCTGACCACCGGACTCTCACACCAGACGCTGAAACATAAATAACCAGACGCTGAGCCGTCGAGTCCAGTTAGCCACCAGGGCCAACCGGACGCGTCTGTTAGAAACTGATCGGACGCTGAGCCTCAGCGTCCTGTCGTTTACAGTAAGCACTCACGCTCGACCGGACGTGTCCGGTCACTCCGGACCAGACGCTGCCAGCGTCCGATCAACTGAACAGCCGAACATCGTTTTTTTATTCACACTGGACGTGTCCGGTATGGCGACCGGACGCGTCCGGGGGTCCGGTCGCTGAATTCGTCGCCAAATACCGGACGTGTCCAGTCACCATACTGGATGCGTTCGATCACTCTGTAACTAGCGCGACTAACTCCTTTTCAACTCTATCTTCTTCACCCTTGCTCAAATGTGCCAACCACCAAGTGTATCACCTTGTGCACATGTGTTAGCATATTTTCATAAACATTTTCAAGAGTGTTAGCACTCCACTAGATCCTAAATACATATGCAATGAGTTAGAGCATCTAGTGGCACTTTGACAACCGCATTTCAATACGAGTTTCACTCCTCTTAATAGTACGGCTATCAATCCTAAATGTGATCACACTCATTAAGTGTCTCGATCACTAAAACAAAATAGCTCCTACAATTTATACCTTTGCCTTGAGCCTTTTGTTTTTCTCTATCTTCTTTTCCAAGTTTAAGCATTTGATCATCACCACGCCATCACCATCGTTGTGATCTTCGCTATTGCTTCATCACTTGGAGTAGTGCTACCTATCTTATAATCACTTTGATAAACTAGGTTAGCACTTAAGGTTTCATCAATTAACCAAAACCAAACTAGAGCTTTCAGGCGCGGGGGAGCAAGCGTGGGCAGCGCGACAGCTGGGCGGGGAGGGCGTCGCAATCCCAGGTCAGAGTAGCGAGGAGGCGGTGGGGGCACGCGGTTGTTGGTTGCTGGCGGGGCTACGGGCGATGGCGCTACGCCAAGGTAGTGCAAGCTGCGCGCAGGGTGCGACGTCATTGGGAAGCAAGAGGACCACAAGGCAGAAAAACCAATTTCTTTTTTTTTACAAACTCCCGAGCTGATAGGAGGGGGTAGTTAGCTAGCATCGCGGCCTGCCAACGGAGCGCCCGTTTCGCAAACGGACGCCCGCTTCCCAACATTACCAAAAGAAAAATGAAAAGAAAAAGGACATGGAGGCCGCAAAGAAAAACTGTTATAGACGGTCCGGCTCGGATTAGAATGGTATTTTTTGCGAGCCGACGGTGAAGCCATTCCAAGATTCTGCTAGACGAAAAGTTAAATGCAGAATTTTTTGCTATTTAATTTTAGGTATTAATATAAGTAATTGTCTCATCGAGATAGAATGATCTGCTATAAATATAGTGATTTAGTGGTGTTGAGTTGATAATAATTATCGCAAAAAAAAATGATATATAACTGCTCCATATATTTAGAGTTAGACTAGGGATACTACGCTTTTCATCAAGAAGAAAGGTAGAATTAACAAATTAGTCAATGACTAACTGAGCACATTAGGGGCTGTGAGAACAGGATCGGTCTGTAGGTCCTAGCCAACCACACCATCCCGGCTGTGACGATTATCTGCAAGTCTACTCCGAGGAACAACACCATAACGCCAACGTCAGCTCACCCAGGCACGCATAGGACAACAGCGGCGCTAAGGACATCTCATCTCTTTGACGAGTCAAATTAAGTGTAAATTAGTTGTAGTTAATTAGGTGTTTCTGTCGTAAGTGACCCCCAAACGACAAGCAGAGCTCCATCCCTGCACTCAAAACTCATCATAAGTTAAAAAAAGAAGAAGCAGAAGCTTGGTGTTTAGTTATGAAATCTTCCGCTGTGTTATGTGCTGTAGACTTCAGAACATACACAATGGTTATTTGCTTGTTTACATCAAACATGGAAATAAATGGAGCCAATGTGCTGGTTTCGAATAAACATCATTACTAGTAGGTCTTGGAAGAAAAATAACATCATTACTAGTAGCAAACAGATGAAACAAATCAAACACTAGGAGATTCGAGCAGTAGCTGCCAACACGGCGTAAGGTCCTCTTTGTGGCACGCCAAGACCTGCAGCAGCCGCGTACAGACTACAGAGAGAGGCTATGGGCACAGCCACACAGGCAGAGCAGCAGGCAGCAGCATCAACTAGAAGCGGGCTGGATTTCACTGCAGACAAGCAGAGAGAAGAATTGTAAGCATAAAAACATTATTTGCGTTGAAAAATTAGTTCTGCTGAAAATAAACGTAACGAGAAGGTAAAGCTGCTACTGCACAAGGTTCGCTGACCTTTGTGTCGTCGTCAGGAATGGATTCTGTGGCTTCCACCTCCACATTGGATCCTTCAACGTCTCCCAGGTCATGCCAGTTTCGGTCCTTTGACAGCCGCAGGACAGGACGATTCGAGTGTGCGTTCACTTCCTCTTCCAGCATGCGGAGCCTCGCCACCCTAGATGAACTGAGTGCAATCACCTTGAGACTTGGAAGGTGCTTGACACCAATAATCCCTGACTCCAAATCTGAGCTCCTGATGTCTATACTTTCCATCTGAGGGGAGGTGTCCTCCTCAAATCTAATCTCTTTCAGGTGGTCCATATCGCCCCAAATCTCAAACTCAAATGCCCTGAGGTTCAGGAATGCTCTGGTTCCAAACACTAATTTCTCTCCAAGGTATGCACCGCTGTAAAACTTGAGGCGCATGAGTTTTGGCAGCTTCCCAAGTATCTCCATGGTTTTATCTTCCATTAGCTGGCAATCTATAAACAAAATCTTCACCAAGTGTGTAAGATTCATGAACCAGTCGGTCATCTCTCCTATATATCCACACAAACTGAGGCTCCTCAGGTGGGGAGGAGGGGAGGTAGAAGAAATCAACCATCCAAGTCCTCTATCCTGGTGTTCGCTGGCCCACACACTGAGAGAACGAAGGGAAGAGAGCTTCTCAATGGATGCACAAAGTATCTTACACTTTTTCTTGGAAGCCCCGTATGTTCCTATGGCTAATTTTCTTAATCGGGTCAGCTCCCCGAGCTCTTTAACTGCTTTGCTGCTAGTTCTTCTAATGTCCACAGACTCTAATATCTCCAACTCTTTTAGGTTTCCAATTCCTCTTGGAACCCTCACTCCATCTCCATCAGTCCTGGACCAACCGCTAGAGCAGCCCATGTGTAGATCACCAATTGCTCTGGCACGTCTATATGAATCACCACTAGAACAACCTATTAGGATTATTGGCAGGCTCAATGTGGCAAACAAACAACGCACTGGTTCTTCTGGATCCAAAAAATAATAGCCTTTCCTATTACACCGGATGACACGGAGATCTCGAAGTTTAGTGATCTCCGTTGGCAGAGTTGTAATATAACTGTTTCCCATGTCCAAAATTTGCAGGCCTTGCATATTTCCTATGTCACTCGGAACTGAATATATATTTGCTGACAAATAAGCCCTGACTTTCAGATATTTCAAGTGACACAGCAGCACTATCTTATTTATACCATCTTGTGTGATTCTAAAATTTCCACCCACAACATCCAAAACTCGTAGCATCCTCAACTTAGGTGTAGAAATTGAAGGTGTGAGATCCAGAGTCCAACCACAACACCCCTCAGTAAAAAAAGTTAATGATCGAATATGCCTCCAATCCATGCCTTCCTTTTGGCACTTGCTGTCGTGGTATGCAACATGACGGAAGTTTTCCTCTGGTACATTAATTCCATTACTGTGGATTAAGTGGACAAAATTTTCTTCTCTAGAAATTGAGACTATGATATCACGCATGATGTCATGAACTCGACAAGTTTTGACACTTCCCTCTATACCCAATCTTGATGATTGAATCATACTCCGGCTGATTAGCTCATCAAAGTACTCTTTCCCAACCTCATCAATGGTTGTCCCAACCTTTGCTCTTACAAACCCTTCTGCTATCCATCTACCAACCACATGACTTCTTTTGATTTCATAATCCTCAGGGAAGATGCTGAGATATACAAAACATGGCTTAAGATGTGAGGGCAAGTGGTTGTAGCTGAGGGTCACCACCCTACGTACTGCTTCAAGGCTTGGGTTACTTTCAAGCTCTGAAGGCAGCTTATTATAGAAATTTTCCCACTCTGCTATCTTCTTAGTGGCTAGAACACCTCCAATTGTGAGTATTGCCAATGGTAAATATCCACACTTCTTTACTACTTTTGTAACTAGTGTTCTCAGGTTCTGATCATTGTCCATGTCATCATGTGCTATTTTTGTCTTCCTTTGTAGCAACTTTACGGCGTCATCTATTTGTAGAAGCTCTAGGTGGTAGATGTTTTCTAAAGTACAGTGCCTAGCCAAACCAACATCTCTGGTAGTAACAATTATCCGACTTCCTCTGTTATTTGACCTAGAAAGTGCAACATCACTAATCCAGTTCCAGTGATGTATTTCCCATAGGTCATCAAAAACAATAAAGTACCTCTTATCCTGAATCTCTCTTCTGAGATAGCTAGCAAGGCCCTCTTCCAACACTTTTCCTGCAAGTTCTTTTAAGATCTCGTTCAGTGCATTAACACCAAAAAATTGACTGATCATGTCTTGGAGCATCGCCCTCCTGGAAAATGATTGTGACACGGTGATCCAAGCATTATAAGGAAAGCTCTTCAGAGTATCCTCCTTGCTTTCATAGGCTTTCCTTGCAAGAGTAGTCTTCCCTAAACCACCCATGCCAACCACACATATCACCTTAGCTGGACCGTTCATAGCGGTGACATCAATCAGAGCAATCAACTCTCTTTTAGGTGAAGCAAAGCCCACAAGTTCTGCTTCATCAATGTTGCTTGCTGAGTTATTGCGGATATCTTCCATGTTCGAATCCATATCATCAGATACGTTGGAGGATTCCGTCTTGATTAACTTGTAGCGCCTATTCCTGTTGCTCACTTCTTCGATTCTTGATTTGAGATTGCGAATCTGGACAGCTATTCGATGACGATCTTTGAGCTTCAACAACTGTTTTGACAAGCTATGGCTCGCCACATGGACCATAAACTCGTCAAGGCAATCTTCAATGTCATAGGACAAATCTCGTACTTGCTCTGCCCAAACCTTCACTAGTTTATCCTTTTTCTCTGTTACTTCAGGAGCTTGCAGGAATGCTTGCATGGTTTTTAGCTCATCTTTGATGAACCTGTGAAACAAAGTTCAAAATAAATTCACATCCACATTTACAGAAACGAGATAAATTTGTCTTGTATACATGACGACCCAACTCTTTATCCAGCAACCTTCCACTTGGCACATGCAGCCACACCTTGATGGAAGGAGTTTTAAGGCACATGGAACTATGAAAGGAGTTGCACAACTTTAAGCTAATCACTCTATAGAGCCTATATATATTTTAGGATGGCCAAATTAACACGAAAATGGTGTTGGATGTTGATTCCAGGCCTCAATCACGAGCCTACTTAGTCTTCATTTATTTGAAGCATGAAAAAACATCTAGACACGTTTGGTTTTTGTTGTGAATGAATCAGCTGGGAGTCGGTTTACAGTTTACACAACGTGCTTACCACATCTCCTTCTGCACGCCCATCAGCAAGCTTATCTCAGTACTGGCGGCTGATGCCGCCTTGCTGACCGCGCTGCCCAGGATCGACTTTGCAAAGATGAGCGCCGCCTCCGCCATCTCCGGTTACTCTCCAAAAAATCCAGCTCGCAGTTCTCCCTGATCACATCCGGAGGCTGAAATCATCAGTAAAAAAATGAGATCCAACCTGAAGGAACTAAGTGATTTTTCATTAAGATTCATTAAGAAAAGAAATAGGCACCCAATAAATTCAGTCAATAGAGGATTTGAACCTAGGTAGTTGGGTGTATGACCACACCTCTCACCCAACCAGTTGAGCTAGGCTCACTTTCTTAAATCATCAGTACGACAACTGAATATCTTTCTATATCTACTTCTTGTGGCATTTCTCGAATTTTTTTCTTGTACAAGTATTCTAAAAAATCTATAATAGGGACTTCTTATGGGGAAGTCCCTCATAGTTTTCTGCCAATAAGGGACGGACAAATTAAAGCAGATGACGTGAAAAGATACAGGTAGAAACCAAAACAAATATCAGATCATCTAGAGAACTGCAGGAAATGGGTTTCACTTACTCGGCAAGCACCCTATGGGATGATTTCTGATTCATGAAACTTGATGTCCGAATTGGAACCCAGAGTGCTCTTGGAACAGCCAAGCCCACACACAGAGTACCACGGGCTGATACTGTGATAGACAGGTATCACTTAATTCGAAGCATTTGGCTTCAAGTTTAGCTCCACTACTTGGATGGACTGCACTGGATCTGGATCTGGATCTCCGTCGGCGTAAACTAATGTTGTTGATAGCTACAGTCCTCGTGACGACTGTAAGTGGCAACGTGCTTTGGCGAGGCTGCTGAGGTCGCAAATCTAGAGGTGGATCAACTTGCATTTTATTTTAGCACCACGAGATGCAACTGCAAGCAGTGGAGTTATTCTTTTGTTCTCCCTGCTACGAGTCACACAATTCTTTTTTCCTTGGTAAAGGAGTCCTAGCATAGATATAGCTCTGTTTCTCTAATTTTTATTAGTCTTTCTGACATTTTTTAAGTTTATTAATTTATCATTATTATTTGGTGGTTGATGGATCGGACAAACTAATTAATTTAGCTAGTACGCAACAAATGGCAAGGGAATACTTTTCACCCAAATTATGATAATGCGTCATCGGCATACTAGAACTATATGTAGACTGTATTTGCCCTCTGTTGGCTAATGGGCTACGATGGAGTATACTTATTTCCTAAATTTAAAAAATGTTAGGGGTTCATGCTATTGCAGGCTATCACAAAAAATTAATTATGCATGTAGATTAGTAGATAGACTAATCTTATCGAGAACTGCAGCCCTCGTGAGGATTTTCAAATGGTTCTCGTGAATCTAGAGGAGGATTAAATTAATTATGTCTTGTTTTTGGCACTGGCACCATCTGCAAGCAGTCATTCTGGGAATCGGAAAGCCGCCACGAGCGTGATGGGCTCCGTCAGAGACGTGAGCACGCGTAGGGTTCCGCTACCTGAAAGACGAGCTGAGCACCATGGACGCCGTGCTAGCTGCAGCCTGTAGAGGTTCGCCGTTCGCATGACAAGTAGGATGATCAGATCGATCCACTACCACTAGTCGAATATTCAGACAGTTCCTTTTATGCAGAAACACTGAATTTGCGTCGTTGCCATTCTTGCATGTGCTGTCTTTAAGGACTTCTTTTTTCTTGCAAACAGCAAAGGCAGAAATGAGAAATTCCTCCATCATCCCTATCAGACCTTCCATACCTCCTACCCAGCTGCAGGGCTTAGGAGCTCATATGTGTGTCCACTCTCAGGCCAAACCAAAAACCTAATAGCCAAATGGGATAAGGCTATCAATTTTTTTTCTTTAAGGATAGGCAAGAAACTGCCAATTATAATTTCTTAAAAAGATCTTACTGATTTAGTTTTTGTTGGCTTGCGCTCTAATATTAAAGAAAAGCTAGAGCACTTTGAGTTTCTCTCTGTTAATCAATTGCTACAAAAAGCTTTGACCGTCAAAAGCCGAAGTAATATTGGAAATCTCATAAATTACATCTCCCTAACATACATACTATTGAATACCATTAAGATGGCTTGGACGATGAAACTACTAATTGTTTTATTACTAAATTTATTTGGCCAGCACAAGCTAAATCAGTTCCTTACTCTTCCCTCTAGCCAATTCACAAGAATCAGCATGAGATGATGAAATTTATATGATGAATCCAAGTGTGATCGATTTTTTGATGAGATGTTAGAAAACGGACACATTAAATTATTGCATCCTTTGCCAGCACTTGATGAGTTGAAATGTCGTGCATATTGAAAATGGCATAATTCTGCTTCTCATGTTCCTAATGATTGTAATGTCTTCCAGAGGCAAGTCCAATCAGTCATATTAGTGAAGGCCGATTGAGTGTATCATAGATGTTGATTGATAGGATGCCCTTCCCATCAATGCTTTTGAATTGAAGAATCATGTTGTCTTGATTCAGCCTAATCATGCATCAACTTGAGTCTGCTGCTGGAAAAACAATGTGATAATTGGAGATCCCAAGGAAGACAGCAAGATTGAAAAGACCTTGGGCCGTGAAATCATGTTCGGGAAGTCATTGGATGGCCAAGAGAATATTAAAATCACCATCAAATCTTCTGGGCTTATGGGGCAAGCAAAAGCTCCTGTTGGAGAGTAAAAAGGAGATGACATTGCTATTATCCAGGGTGTTAAACGGCGAAAAATGCCAAGGCCTATTTCTTTAATCAGTCTAATTAAAATGGATCAAAGACCCCCCACGCACCTACAAGCCAAGGCATCCGGAGATTAAAAATTGGAAGGTCAATAAAATCAAGAATTCCAGCAAAGAACTCCTTTTTCTTGCAAACAACAAATGCAGAAATAAGAAATTCCGTCACCATCCCTATCAGACCTTCCATATGTACATCCTACCCAGCTGTAGGGCTTAGGAGCTCATATGTGTGTCCACTCTTAGGTTAACCCAAAAACTAAAAAGCCAAATAAAATCAAGAATACGATGTTGCATCAACATTACCTGGGAAGACAAGCGTCAAGCCAACACACCATCACGGTCGCTTACACCGTCATTACCGATGTTGCCCCACATTGATCCAACCCTTGCCATGTAGGGCTAGCCACCATAGTCCACTGCATGCCAAGCACATTTCACTCCATCGAGCCTAAGAGGGGGGAAAGGGGAGTATTGAATTAGGCTTTCTAAAAACTCGTACTCTAAATTATGGCATCTAATTCAACTTATGTAAACCTATGCAAAAAAGTAATCCATCTAGATATGCAACTAAGGTTTTGCTAAGTTTGTTATTATTTCTACTGCAAAAGAGTTCTACAACCTATGTAAAACTTGGAATGGTGTCTCAACACCCCTCTATCTTCAGCACACTCTAACATGCACAAATGAGTCGACCATAAGGGGTTTATATCAGCAGTGCACCGAAAAAAGGTTAGGTGCTATTGCTGAATTGATCTGGTGAGCACCACGTCTGTAAGGAAATGGACCATTGGCCCATTTAGTTTGGATTTTTGTGTTTGATGATCAACATGACCATTTGGACTAACTTTACTTGCTAGTGTTTTTTGATATAGTTCAACATGATCGGATGATCAACACCTCAAGCAAGACATTAGAAGCATTGTTGAAGACCTATAAGACATGCAAAAGTCCAAGACACAAAGATGGAACAAAGCCAGACACAAAGATCGCAAAGAAACAAGTTGAGAGAAGGAGTTGTGGATCGTCGGACCCTGAGGGGCCGTCAGACCAATATGGGAAGCAAACCCTGGCAGCAGCAGCGTTCAGGCAGGGCATCGGACCAAATGTCGTTACTATTCATAGGACAGAGAAGACACAGAGGCATCGGACCGAGGCAACAGTGAAAGCATCGGACCAATTCGAGTAGAGTCTGACGGTTTCCAGTAAGGTTCTAGAGAGGGTTTTAGGGCGTTGTTGACACCTGTGGGTGCAAGCAGAAAAATCCACAAACGCACGGATATCGTAGTAGCTTTTCACCCAAAGTGTTCTAAGTATCGTATCCACAGGGAAACGTATGAGATTAACTACAGTCTAACTTAACCAGGGATAGCAACACGGTTAGGATAAATAGGAGTGTAGAGAGGACTTTGATGGCTTTTAACTTCTAACTTAAGTTAGCGTTGTATTCTAGTGTTCACCAAGGGACATTACTAAGGAAGAGTATAGCTAAATATGCCTCTTCCGTTGCAACCAGGTCCTACTAGTCCTACAAACAGTAGGTGGGTTACAAAGGACCAATGTACTGTAACTTACGCGGTCTACCACATGTTTTAGAGTGCAGGGTGCATCTATGTTGGTAATTCTTAACGTATGCAAAAGAATCCGCAAGCGCATGAAATTACCGCTGTAGCATTTCACCCGGTGGTATTCAGGGTATCATATTTCCACGAGGAATGATAGTGTAGAAGTCTCTTAGCTAGTTCACCTAAGATAACAAGAAGGAGAGTGGCTCGGGTAGCGATGTTTTTCTAAGGATCGAGTTCTTAAGCTAAGATAGCTTTGGTCACTACAGACTTGCTTCGGGCACCGGCTTATACTTGGTCTGCCAAGTACCTCCGGCCTATAGCTCTACGCCAAACCCAAATGTGGTGGATTACAAGGGACGGACAGGGCTATCACCACATGCCGCCTACCCCTCAACTGTGGGCATAAGGCAAACGAAGGTAACCTCTAGCCTAGACACCACGTCTATGCTATTGACTACTACTCTAGCGTCAATTAGGGTTATCCGTCTTCATCAGGGCCCTCTACTAGAATATCCGCTACGAGAGCGGACGACGAACCCAGAAGCAAATAGTAAACAATACTAACTTTACTTAAGAACTCATCACCGTAGAAGGACACGAACCTTGTACTCCAAGCAGCACAAGGTCCGTCGAGGTACAAGTGTAGAGGGAGCCGACATCTTTGGTACTCCTCTCACTCTTACTCACTCACTCCCTACACTAGAACTAGCTAAAGAGCTAAGATAGGAATGGAGCTCTTCTCTTCTTGTCACATTGTGTCTTCTCTTGTGTTGTGTG